TATGGGAACTACAAAGCACAAATAGCCTTTGGAAGGAAATATTGAAATTAAAAAACTAATGAAATAATCTTAATGAAGATGATAAAACCATACTCTACCAACCATTGTGCATATCGGTCATTCTAAAGTCTTCGAGAAACGGGTAACACATGCCTTCCTAAAGAGAAAATTAACAGACATTTTGAATATGACAAAGTCACTAACTCTAATAAATGTACGATGAGACTACAACATTGTAAAAATAAATCAGTTGCAATATATGCAAAAAAAATTCATGAAGAACCTTGATTAGTCGCGGAGAACTTCCTATCTGTCAAAACATGGAAACAAAACTTTGTCCTCCACAAGTCAACTATAACGAATATAACAAATGGGATAGATTACCCCAATTAAAATAGAAGAATATGATAAAAACATAACAGAAAAGGTGAGGAAGAAACTAGGGTCATTGCTCAAGATTGACACTTGCACCTCCACCACAATCAAAAGGCGGTATGGAAAAATCTATATCCATGTCCCAATTGAGGTTAGAGTCAAAATAAAATTGGTGATTGGGAACCATAAGAAAAGAGTAATTTATAAAGGGGAGGGAATAATGTGTATTGGTGTGGTAGAATAGTGCACACCCTATGGAAATGCATTGAAAAAGCTAACTATTTAGAAAATCCTCACTAACCCCCACTGTAGGAAATATTAAAGGAAACATAGTATCTTAAGAAAATGCTCATGTTTATTATAGGCTACTTAAGGCCACTTGAGATGATTACAATCATCAACAATATCACTATTTATACTACTCAAAATAGAAAACAAAAAGTCTTGCACAAATAACTAAATACATGTATTACAATTTACTAGATACATGTACTACGAAATTCAAAAAAGACTTCTTGAAAAAACTAAGAGAAAATTTTGGAACACTAAACATTGATGCGTTAATTCCAACAGTCCCCCTTAATGCATTAGCTTTATAACTCCAATGCGTTCTCGAAGATAGAAACTTTTTTCTTTAGGAAGTGCTTTGGTAAAGATATCAGCAATTGTTTCTCCTGTATGACAATAATGCAACTGAATTTTGCCTTTCTCTTGTGCTTCTCGGATAAAAGGATACTTGATGGAAATATGCTTTGATATTTCATGGTTTACTGGATTCATGGCAATTGCAATTGCTGATTTTTATCACAATATAGAACAGTCCCCTTTTTCTTTTTCACCAATGTCTTCAAATATTCTCCTAAGCCAAATAGCATGAGAAGTAGCCTTGGATGCTGAAACATATTCTGCTTCGGCAGTAGATTGAGTAACAACACTTCACTTTTTTGATAACCAAGAAGAAATGCTTGATCCAAATAAGAAAGTATAACCAGAACTACTCTTGATGTCATCTATACTTCCAGCCCAATCACTATCAGAATAACCAATTAAGTTCAAATTTCCACCAAATTTTTACATTATCCCATAATCCATTGTTCCTTACAAGTAGCGTAGAACACTCTTTGCAGCTCCAAAATTCACATGGCTTGGTTCTTGCATGAATTTGGATAATAAACTAGCAGCAAACATAATATCTGGCCTTGTTGAAGTAAGATATAACAAATTTCCAATCAAACTCCTAAAAAATGAGTTATTAACTTTCTTTTCTCCATCATCTTTTCTAAACTTCTCATTTGCTGCTAATGGTAAGGCCTCAGACCTGCAATCCATCATTTTGAATTTTTGAAGAATACTTTTAGTATACTTCTTTTGAGAAATGAAAATTCCTTCTTTCACTTAAGAAACTTCGATGCCCAAGAAATAATTTATCAATCAAAGATCACTCATTTCATAAGCCTGCATCATATCTGTTTGAAATTTTGCATCATCTTTCCATCATTTTCTGTAAAGAGCAAATCGTCCACTTAGAGACAAACAATAATAATGTTGCCATGTTCTTTCTTCACATACAAAGTGGCTTCACTTTTACTCCTCTGAAAATTAATTTTCAGAAAGTATGTATCAATTTCATTATACCGGGCTCTTGGAGCTTGCTTCAGCCCGTAAAGAGCTTTTTTTTTAGTCTATACACCTTTTGTTCTCCCCTTTGAACAAAAAATCCTTGAGGTTGCTCAACATAAATCTCTTCATCAAGTTTTCCATTCAGAAATGCTAATTTAACATCAAGTTGAATTATCTTCCATTTCTTTTGTGCAGCAACGTCAATTACAATACTAATTATCTCATGACGAGCAACTGGAGAGAAAGTTTCATAAAAATTAATACCTAGATTTTGCAAGAAGCCTCTAGCAACCATCCTTGCTATGTGCTTTTGAATATCTCCTTCCTAATTGAGTTTTATTTTGTAAATCCATTTTAGACTTACAACTTCTCTTTCTCTAGGAATAGCCACAAGCTCCCAAGTATTATTTTTTTTCGATCGTTCGACTTTCTTCTTCTATGGCTTTCTTTCATACATGATGCTTTATTGCTTCTTCATAATTTTCTTGCTCAACACTGGCAAAATTAGATATTTGATCAATGTCTCTCAACATTTTTGTTCCTCTTGGAGGAGGTTGTTCATTATCTGAATTTGGGTTTTGTCCCCCTTGAGAGACATCTTCATCTTTCTCATCCTCTTCTTGATTTGAAGATATGATAGCAGTATTTTCTATCTTTTTATCCTCCAAATTCCATGTTGTTTTTTCATCAAAAATTACATCTCTACTAACAAAAAGTTTGTTAGTTTTGACATCGAGAAGACTATACCCTTTTGTAACATCACTATAACAAAGAAAGACAGATTTTTGACTTTTTTCATCTAATTTTATTCTTTTCTCAGCAGGTACATGAGCATAACAAATACATACAAAAATTTTGAAATGACTTACAGAAGGTTTAATTCCACTCCAAGCCTCAACTGGTGTCTTGTCCTTTAGTCCCTTTGTTGGACACTTGTTAAGGATGTGAACTTCTTTATGCACTCCTTCTGTCCAAAAATATTTTGGCAGCCCTTTCTCATTCATCATAGTTCTGGCCATTTCAACAATTGTTCTATTTCTTCTTTAAGATACACCATTTTGTTGAGGAGAATACCCTGCTGTAAGTTGCTTCTGAATGCCTTCGCTATTGCAATATTCTTCAAATTCTCGACTTGCTTACTCACCTCCTCGATCATTGCGAATGGTTTTGATGCTGCAAACTTTTTGCTTCTCAACAAGGGGTTCTTGAATATAGCAAATGCTTCTGACTTTTCTTTCAAGAAATAAGCCCAAGTCATTCTTGAGAAATCATCAATAAAGATTAGAAAATACATTTGACTTCCAAGAGATGGAGTCTTCATTTGTCCACAAATGTCGGTATGAATTAGTTCTAAAAATACACTTGCTCTCCAAGACACCCCTTGTGGAAAAGACTTCCTATATTGCTTTCCCATTATACAACTTTCACATGTATCCACCTCAGTATGTATCTCAGGAAGTCCTTGCACCATGTCCTTTTGCTTGAGAAGGTTTAAACCATTAAAATTCAAGTGACAAAATCTTTTGTGCCAAAGCCACGATCAGCTACAATTTCATTTTTAATGCATTGTAATGAAATTGCAAAGGGAAGTTTCTTTTTATCATCTTTACTTCAACAATGACTTGATTTGACTCAATTTTATCATAAATCTTTCAATAATTATCTCTAAACACAAGAGAATAACCATTTTCCATGAGTTGACCAACACTAAGCAAATTTTCTTCCACGTCAGGAACATAAAGAATATGAATTTGCTTACCGCATCCTTTCATGTTGATCAAAGTATTACCTTTACCTTTCGCATCAACTAAGGCTCCATTCCCCATCTTCACATTAGTAGTGATGTTATTAGTAATTGAGAGGAAAGCCTTTTCATCTCCAGTCATGTAATTACTACAACCACTATCAACATACCATTCATTGCTTTTTGTTGAAGCATCAGATTTACAAGCAAAGAAAATATTTTCTTCCCTTTCTTCCTCATGTTTTTCACAAAAATTTGCTTGCTCCCATTTCTTGTGCCAACAATCCTTTTCAACGTGGCAAAACTTTTTACAAAAGTTACATTGGGGCTTGCCTTTGTGCCTACATTTTTCTGCATTGTGAGTAGTCTTTTTGCAAACTTTTACAAAAAAGACTAGAGTTTTTCTCACCTTTTTCTTCAACCTTCTTGGAAGAACCATCATGATCCTACTTCTTTTTTGGATTTTTATTTTTCTTCTGATGATTTATTGAGAAATTTTGAGAATTCTCATTTATTTTAGACTGGAAAGTCGTCTCTTTGGGTTGATCTTTACAAAAAAATCTTCATTTCTCGGATGCACGAAATGATCCAACTATTTCTTTGATGGAAAGCTTAGAAAGATCTTTCGTCTCCTCAGGGATAGCAACGATGTACTCATACTTTTCTGTGACACTTATTAGAATCTTTTCCACAACTTGTTGGTCAGCATTTCTATCACTATGATTTCTCATTTCATTAACAATATTCATGACTCTTGTGCAATATTCATCAATTATTTCAGATTCTATCATCTTTAAATTTTGAAACTCTCTTCTAAGAGTTTGAAGATTTATAGTGCGTACCTTTTCGTCACCATACACCTAAGTTTCCAGAAAATCCCTTTGCAGTCTCACAAGTAGCATTGTTTGCAAAATATGCTCTTGAGACTCCCATTTGGATTTTGCTCAAGGCTTTTGCATCTTGATGATACTTAGACTCAAGATTTATCATTTCTGCTGCTGTAAGATCACCATCGTTTTATGGCTCTTTAAAGCCATTTGCAACAATAGTCCACAACCCTTCAGCTTTCAAATATGTTCTCATTCTTATCTTCTAGTATTCAAAATCAGTTCCATCAAAAAATGGAGTAACACCAATTGAAGAATCAGCACCTTCAGTTGTTTTGGATGCCATATTTTTTTCCTCACCTAACCCCAAATTAAGAACGAAAACCTTCTCTTGATACGAATTTGTAGGAAATATGAAAGAAAAAAATAATATCTTTAGAAAATGCTCAAGTTTATTATAGCCACTTAAAGCCTCTTGAGATTATTACAATCATCAACTACATCACTATTTATACTACTCAAAATAAAAAACAAAATCTCTTGCACAAATAACTAAATACATGTATCACAATTTACTAGATACATGTACTACAAATTCTAAAAAGACTTCTTGTAAAATCTAAGTAACAGTTTTGGAAGACTAAACATTGATGCAATAATTCCAACATCCACAACCACCTAAATGAATGGATCAGTTGGACACCGTAGAAATCGTATCATTTCCTAATAGGAGGAAAACTGCAACAAGGAAAGAAGGCATATGAGCACAAAGGACTCAATAGGACAACAACCAAGACATAAAAGGTCTTAAGACCCTTATTAGAGTATGTTACTAAACACCGGTTCCCCTATGCAATCACTAGCTGACTGTGCAAATATTAATGAAAAAACAAAAAAAATACTATAATTTGAAGAGGGGGCCGCAAATCTTAACTCTAAGGCCAATGTCACAGCTGTAAAAACATGAACACTGCCAACCAAATGCTTTTCATAACCATTATAGAAGAGAGAGAAAATCCCATCATGGCTAGTAATTATGCGACCTTAAATCCGATGGGTAACATAGGGCCCCACGACTTGATGACTAAATATCCCTTTCTCTCCCCTAATTTTCCAATTATCAAAATAGCTGTTGCAGGACATTCAGGGTATTTATCACCCTCTTGCAAATGACAAGACTATGAAGCCGCATCAAACATCTATCAAATTAATACAAACATGATGGATGATGATACACCTCCAAATACAACTAAGCAAAAGGACGTAGACACCAACTATAGTAAGTACGCATCCAACCAAATGCCACTATCAAATATACAAGAATACCCACTGATCTTCATGACAGAGCCGATGACACGCACCACACTCCGACCTCCTCGCTAAAGCTAGCACTGCAAGAGAATCATCAAACCTTCCAAGTTATGAAAGCAAGAAATTGGGTGACACTAATCCTCATAGATCCGGGATACCTATCCAAAATCATCAAGAATGGGATCAACAAAGTAATTACAGAATAAGGCCAACAAATATCGATGCAGACACAAATATAAACCCAGATATGTGGAAATAGGAACACAATAACAATGGAGGAACTAAGTGTATTGATAAACGACATATTCTAGAGCCTCCCCTTCTTTCGCACTCTCTCATACTTAATTAGTGCTTAGAGTCTTTCCTTCCTACCTAAAATACCTCAGGAGGTCTAGAACATATTATACTCATAAATACCATAAATAGAAGGAGAGAATAACAACCTAGAAGGAATGGAAACCTCAATCCTAGAACTGATAAAATAACAATTAGGAACGAGAAGAATGATTTACAGAACTTTGAAAAAAAGTATGGAGACGTGCATCTTGGAGATGTTATTCTTCAAGGAGTTCGAGGAACCCTTCAACATTAGAGTAATAGTCTAGTTTCCACATGAGATTAAGAGATGCATCTTGAATTTGAGGAACGAGAAGGAACTATCCATGCAGTAGTGGTACAGAACCCCACTTGATTATACATCTATAGTGGAGAATGAGAATGGGAAGGGCTTGTAGGTGTAACAACACAACATGAGTTTTTGATGAATTTTATTATGTGGAACAAGATAGGAGACGATAACGCGAGCTTCAGGCGATGGTGTAGAGCAATGGTGAACATTCACATGCCCGTGATGCTCGTTTTACATGAAAGAAAAATAAATACGCATCGAAGCCTTACTGATTACGTAATGTTTTACTCGCAAATCTTGTTTTCTAAAAATGGTATCTTAGAACAGATAGTTATAATGTTAAACTGTGACACACTGAAGCTTGAAAACTTGTCAATAACCCCAAAGGAATCCTTATATTTGTCAATTTATTATCGGACTCCCCATCTTTCTTTTATGATAGTAGTCTATGTTATTCTTTACTTCAACACTAGAACTTACGTCTGGAAAGAAGTAGGTAGCCTCTCAAACACAAATACTTCAATAATGTCCCCCATGCCAACGAAAAGCTAGGAGGGAATAGCATTAATAACAATAGGGTTAGTCTCTTCTTGAATTGCTGGAATGAATGCAAAATTATGTACTTAGGACATAAATATTGTAAATATAATTGGACTAACTGGAGATATAGGAATAGAAGCAACCTTGTCTTTGAATGACTATATAAGTGTGTTTGATATGATGCCTAGATAAGGCTTTTCCCCGACTCTATAATAGCCCACCTTCCATGAAGCATGGTTGACCACTGCACTATGATCATTACACTTAATAAATAATGGTCTAAAACTATTCAGAATGAAGAAAATGTGGTGTGGGCACCCATCATTAAAACTCCTGGTCCAATATTAGTTTGATAACCAAGATACCTTTTATGCATCCATAAATCCTTTCCAAAAAGAGGCCACCTTTTTGAATACCTTTGCCTTTCGAAACATCTTCAGAAACATCAGAATAATTATTTCAAGACTTTATCAGATTCAGAGGTCCCTAAGATACCTCAATAGATCCTTCCTTCAAGATCTATATTCTAGTGTCCTTCAAGAGTACAAAAACCACCTAGATACTTAGAAAGAATTTATAAAAACGAAGCCTAATATAAATTGTATTAGAGAGGGTGATGAAAACACAAATATCTTGCAAACATCTACAGTAAATATAAGGATAAGAAATTGTATCACCTCAATGAAGGGTGATAGTTGAAAGCTAATAGAGTACCAAGATCAACTCATGAACCACATAACCAAATTCTTCGAACCCTTTACACCACTAAGCACAACCAATCCAATAGAAAAACATCAATTATAGGGGAAAAGACCTCTGAGGAAATGTACAATTCCTTTGACTCCCCCCTTGGATATAATGAAATCTCTAATTCCGTCAAGTCCTTCCACCCACTCAAAGCCCCTAGGCTTGATGGATTGAACGACATGTTCTACCAAAAGAACTGCAATATTGTTTGTGGAAAGAACATAATCTTCTCTAAAGTTGCTTTTGAAAAGTACCACATTCCTACCTATCACATAAATATCATTATGTGCATCATCCTCAAATGTCCTAACCCCTTAACCCTCACAAGATGGAATTCTCATTGGCCTGTGCAATACAACTTACAAGCTTGTAAGAAAGATCTTAGTAAAAATAATAAAGCACATCCTTCTTCAGTCATTGGAATCAATTGAGCTAGTTTCCTTCACAACAGAGAAGCTTCTGACAATACTATCATTGTGAAAGAACACATCTCCCATTTAGGGAAGATTGAAGGTTAAAAGTCCAACGTCATGCTCAAAATGACTTCGAAAAAGCCTTTGACAAATTTGAATGGTTCTACATAAGTAAAACCCTCTAGAACTTCAACTTTTCTCATAAACTCTCCAAGTTAATCCTCTCTGCATTTGCACTAGCTCTATTGTCATACTTGTCAACAGAAAAAGAACTAGTTTCTTTAGACCCTAAATGTGAATTAGAGAAAGAGACCACCTATCTCACTATCTCTTCATCATGTGTATGGAAAAGCTATAAGGAGACATTGAAAGAGGTTTAGTACAAAAACAATAGACCCCCATTAACAATCACTATGACAGGAATAAAAATTTTCCATATTTTATTTTCTTATGACCCCTGTATGTTTGCTAGAGCTAACAATAAGAACTATAGTGCCACCTCCAAGATACTCAATGTTTTTTGCACCAACTCTAGACAAAGGGTGATACTTTCCAATCCAAATCATCTACTCTAAAACACCACAAATATACTAGAACCATGTGCTCCACTCCCTTGAGGATAGAAGCCTAAAAAATCCTTGGGAAATCGCTAGGATTGCCAATCTTCAAACAGAAGCCGAGGAATACTGATTTTCAATAAATCATTGACAACATGATGAAAAATATGTCTTGCTGAAAGATAGAACTCCTCAATAATACACGTACTGTAGTGCTTGCTAAGGACTCCCTTAGAAGCATCAACTTACATGTTATTCAATATATAACAACGTTATGAAATATTACTAGCACAAGGAACAAAATCTAGAGATAATTCATCTAGGGGACAACAAACGAGACATGATAGTATACCTTCTTAATTGGGAAACACTCCTTAATAAACACATGATAACCAATAGGAAAAACATGAGAGGGGTTAGCATATAGAAAAGTGAGATACGAAAATCAACTATTTTCTCAAGCCTATGCTGGAGGATCAGAAACCAAATAATATATAGAGTAAAGTCCAAATGAGAAGGTAATGGAAGTCCAATAAAATCTCCAAATAAGGAGTTGTCTCTGGAACATGGAAAAACTTTCAAAATGGTTTAATAGACATATTAAAGGAAGCAAAGTGGATAGTGCATATAGAAAACAGATTGAACTTTTTCAGTGGTAATTTGCTACCACATTGAGACTATGCGAAGCATTATCCAAGGCCCAACGACCAATGAGGAAGGAAAAATTGAGATTTCTGAAATCTATAAACACGAGACATGGGAATTTGAAAAACGTTCCTTCAAATTGCATGACTGTACGAATAGCATGGTTAACCGCCACCTCGTCCCACAACAGGGAACAAAAGAATATATATTGGATTGGGGACTTACAAGGAATGGGTATATCTTAAGAAGTACAACGTACGACTATATTAAGGATAAAACATTCAAGAACCCAGGGTTTCCAAATGAGAATCTTAAATTGATCTGGGCTACAGATGGGCCCAGTGAAATTGAAACATTCGTCTGTTTATTGCAACATTGAAGACTACCTAAAAATTAGTCCCTTTAGCAAAAAGGAATGAATCTCCATACAAAATGTGATATTGTTGTTACCAATGGAGGAGACTATTCAGATGTTCTTAGAATGCCTAAATTCACTCAACCATTGGAATGTAAAGAGCGGAAACTGGGTAGGATAAATATGAGCAATTGGATCGATTAACGGAATAAACTTATGGGGAAACATTTAAACCAATGGATGGACCAGAATACTCCTATTCCTTTATGGCCATGGAACATATGGCTAACAAGGAATAATAACACTTTCAATCACCAAAGAAGTCCCATTAGTGGCCACCAAGCCATCTCTCAGGTCAATGTGTAGAGTTTACTCATCGGCAAATAAAGCACTAAAAAAGAAAATCAACTGGTCCATTGGATCATTTCTGTTTTAGATGATGCTCCCCACACACACACTATAAGAGTTGAACTGTTAGTAATGCGATGAGGGATCAAAATAGTTGTATACCACATATTCACTCCTCTTGAAATAAATTTTGATTTAATTTAGACTATTCAAATGCTTTAAAAAAAACTAATACACTATATGAAAACAATGTTGATGTGTGCAGGTACTTGATGCGAAAACATAAAATCAATAGATGACCCATGTGTTTCAGGTGTAAAATAGAGTGGCAGACAACTTGGCCAAGAAGCTGACGAAGTTGACATTTTTTTATGAACTAGGCATTTTGCTAGAGAGTTCTTCTAATGCATTCCCCGAAACAAGTGGACGTAGACAATCTAGGAACTATGTACAGTACATTAACAAAAATATTTCAAACAATGTCTAGGGTCTAATGTGATACAGTTTAGTTTAAATGGGCATACCACCGAGGCGGATTACCCTACAACCTAACTATTAACGTTGGCATTGTTTAAAACTACTTCTTAATAAATATAAAAAAAATCTTTAAAAAAATACCAAACAACCTACTCATAAATTGTGGTAACTTCATTATCGTTCATGTTGCTTTTTTCCTGGCCAGGGCTAAAGAAATTACAAACTTAATTGACAATGCCTCGTTCCTTATTTTTAGTTATTCAACTCAACTATCTACAACATCACACCCAGTAAATCTACAATTTTCCTTCTAAAGGATCTTAGATCTGTCCCTCTCAGGGGAGGACCTACTTGTTTTTAGGTGAGTTTATATGAATCCACTTTGTCAAATGGATACATTTTATGTATATATATATATATATATATATATATATATATATATATATATATACATACTCAATCTTCTTTTTTTGAAATAATTTGTATATATTATTAATGTGAAGCCACTTAAACTAATAGTAATGCATAGCCTAGCGGCAAGGTGGTATGATCAATGATACATTGTGGGATTCATTCCCACTCGCAACAATTAATTATTTTCCTTCTGAGATTTCAAGTACACATATTAAATTATTGTTTTGTTGTTATTTTATTCGCTTCACTCAATATTGCTCCATTTGGGTCTACCAGTGATCCCTCTAATTTTATCAACAATATCAATGCTTCTTGATTTATAGCCTCTTTACAGTATTCTACTATTTTTTTAACACCCTTCTCATCAATGACAACAAGTCCCAAAATTATTCCCAATTATTTTGGCTCGATAAAAATTCTAGAAAGTTAACAACTACACTTAGTGTTAGTGTAATATCATCTGTGTAGGGGGATTACGTAGCATTTGCAAGAACACAAAATGTAATATGTCAAGAAACTGAATCATCATTTCACTTATGTACTAGGCTTATTGCAAGAATATCTAAAATAAATTGCTTGTACCTTTCTTTTCAAGCAAATCATGACATTAGACTTTCATTCTTCATGTTGCTTACAAGAATTATGATTTCAACTTTGGAGGATGGAGAATTATGGCATTTGGTTTAGATTTTAAGACATGCATAATAGATAAACATGCTCTTTCAAACTTGATCTTAACTATCATGTATGCGTTCCAACTCTCTGTATGCACAAGTAGACACTTAAACTTGAATGAAATTTAATAAATAGTCATGTCTTCTACGTGTGATGCTACATGACACTTTGTTGTCCTACACCTATAATGTCAAATAGGACATGTGCGTCTATTTGTTCAATTTATACATGTTTTAAGTGTCTACATATGTTTAACCAAAGTTGGAGGGCAGAAATACAAATTGAAGTTAAGTTAAAGAACATATATATGTATTACGTTGATTTGATGTTTTGGAAAAATTATAGGTATATTACATAAATATGTCATTTCATTTTGTTTCAATTAGTATCTGTTCCCTCCATCTTTGAGAGTATTCAAGCATAACTTTAACTTGAATACAGTTTACCACACATAAATGTGTCCTATGTTGCGTCTTCAATGATATTTTTTTCCTACATGGAGTTGGTCCAATTAAGAGATACATTTATCTATAATGCCAATATATTAATTTCAGACCCGGGTTCCATCCCTCCTGATTGAATTTTAAGTCGAGCACTACGCAAAGGGATTACCTATGGTGCCGTTTACATCACATAATCTTTAGCAGGATATTACACAGTGGGGGGTTTACCCAGTGCGCACAAAGTGCCCACCGGAAGGGCAGAGGCTGTGACAAAGGTTGTAGAGGTTATGGGCCATCTTGGGTTCCAAAAAAGTGTCCATTTTCTAATAAATATATTATTTTAAATAATCTACTTACAAAATCAAGGCAATAGTGGGGATAATTTCATAGGATAAGACAAAATCTGGACCTCCATCCCTATCACTAGATAATCCTTATCGCTAGTGTTAAATTATCATCACAATTCACTAAATTTGTTTTTGCGCTTTTATTTAGTCTTAGATAAGAAAAATTAAAAAAACTCCTAGGTATTTAGAAAAGGTAAACAAGAAAAAAATTTAAAAGTTAGTTGTAGGATGAATTAGTTGTAAATCTAACCATAGAAGGAAACAAAAATTTTCAAACAAAATTTATGTGGAGTATGATTCGTAAAATAAGAAATTTACACAAGAATATTTTGAATAATTTGTTAAAATATGTTGACATCATATTTTATCCTGATCTTATTCTCGATTCCTAACTTTAATCTGATATCCAAATTTGAACCTTATTAGAGGCTATGATGATCCCAACTTGGAATTTTTCCATAACTAAGGATTAGGGATTCGACCTTCACATAACATCTAACTTCAACTAAGGATCTGACTTCAAATTCCACCCCGAACATTTGAACCATATCCTAACAAAATTTTTGACTCAGGTCCAAGTCTCAGCTTCAATGGTATATGGGCCCGACCGAATGACATTAATAAACCTTTCAATCATGTCCTTATTTCTGTGGTTGGACATCAGTATTCTCACTTCTACGAAGATTCACATTAGGGAGGACAAATGTTGAAGGTAGAATTAAATAAAAGCATAGTAGCAGAATGGGTTAGAGCTATGTTCAACTGGTTGTGGGATAAAAGTTATCATGTGTTTGATTGATATTGGGGTTGGGAGACAGAACACACGTCAAGAACAGGAGTCAAAACTTGTGTGATGGCCTGATGCTTGAAAAAGAATTTCGATACTTTTTATTTTAAGAAGGGAAGCCAAATTTCTTATATTTGAGAAAATAAATCTATTAAAAAGATATTTTCAAAATTCTTAAGTGAACCAAATATGAGAAAAATTAAACAATTTCCCTTCATACCAAAACTCATGTGGATTCTGCTTATGAGTTCAAATTTTTTTACTGATTTGTTTTTAAATGTTTGGGACAAGGAAAAAGGGAAATCAGGAGGGCATTAGAATAGGAGAGGAGGCACATACAAGTAACAGTGTCCGATTGGACACTCAGATATACAACTAAATGATACAAAAAGTTATTAAAAAATATATTTTGGACTAATACCCATTACAGGCGTTTGAAAACCCTTTTTGATCTTTAGTATGCCAAAACTAAGTTGATTGGAAATAAGGTCAAACCTATGGGTGAAAATATGCATTATTTTCCTATTTTTAAGTTTGAGCGCTGCATCTTATTCCTGATCTTAAAATTTATCAACCAATGTGCATGAATATGGAATCATTCTTTGTGTGAGGGCATTTTGATATGTTTCTTAAATTTGAATTTGCATTAGTAGCAAGTGAAGTGAGCATGAGAATCTTTGGTAATGGTGTGTAACAACTTGAATCTTTTTGTACACAATTGATCTTTGCAGTAGTAGTATGAATCTTGTTCTTGATTAAGTCTTGTGTCGCACTATTTTAGGCATCCTATTTGAACTACTAAAGTTGAGTTTTACTTGAGGAAATTCAAAAGTTTAAGTTGGGGGTGTTGATGAGCCCACAAACTGGACTCATTTAAGACTTTATTTTGATAGAAATAGTGTCTTCAATTTCTTATTTGTGTCAATTTTTGATGAAAAATCTAAAGTTTACGGTATTTTAAGATTAGTGCAAGCATGGACAATTACATGCAAAAGGAAACAAAAATCATGAAGAGAACAAAGAAACTGAAGCCTGAGCATCACCAAGTACATTAGGCGAGTCTTCAAAGGAACGTACCCGACCTTTCTTCTAGCATGAGAAGCCCCAAAGGAGCTGGATCAAAACAACAATGAAAGGATTAGCAGGCGCTTTCTGAATCGTTTCGTGACGCAATGTTGTACCGCAAATGGTCCGGAACATGAAGATGTTGAAGGCAATAACAAAACGACAATGAAATGGAAGAAGGACGAGTCATCTAATCATTTGTCTATCTAGAATAATCAATTCCAATGGTCTGTTGAAACATTTAATCTTAAAACTATAAATACTACACTTAGTTATTATTTTCAAGAGATCCGAACATTTCATTATTGTAGAGTATGAAATATTATTTCCTTGTATTTTCTCTCATGCTTGGAGAGGATTTTGGGAAACTTTTAAAAAAAAGGTTTGTTCTTCTCTAAGATGGAAGTGGGTCTTCTTCATTTTTTCCTTTTTCTTAAATCAAGGTTTAATTTCTTATACCCATGTGATTTTACTATCATTTCAGGTGTGTTTTGTTATTGCTTGATGTGTGGCTAAAATCCCCATTCTTGGGGTGTGATATAGAAAATATGAGTTGATATTATTTTTGGGTCTAACTTCTTGATAGGTTCGATGTATTTTGGTGATTACATAACCTAGTGGTTGTGATTTAAATTAAAGGTTTGTAGTTCCAAATATAAACTCACCCATGTGTTTTCAATTTTCCTTAGAAGGAGTCGTGAAACAAAGACCGCTCAACTAATGGCCTAAGGAGTGGATCGACATGAGGTTCATTCAAGTGAGCACTACTCCCATATCCTAACACTCCGGTCGTGAGAGTGAGTGTGGTAAGGAGTATATTGGCCTTCAAGCAGAAAATGGGTGTTCGAGTGGAACACATTTAAAATGGGTATGTTTCTTGAGAGGGAACTTATTTCTACCTAAATTTTGTTGGGTATGTAGAAAAATTGATGGAAAATAGAGGTAAGGAGAGAAATTTGAAAAGATGAGAACTTAAAGAGTTGAGAACTTAAAAAGTCCTCTTATGCTTTAATGAAAAGGCAAATGTACCTCATCGATAATGGAAAGGACAATAGGAGATTTTAAATACATAAACACTCCTATTAATTGTTAAAAGGGTTGGAAAGAGGGATCCCCCTTGCGCCGTCGTTGTCGTCGCTCGATCGCTTCGGCTTTGTCTTTGGCAAATTGATCGAGAGATTATTTTTTGAAAAAAAATTGTTTTAATTATTCATTTAATTAAATAAAAGGCAAAAAAATATTTTCAATTAATTAGTTGATAACAGAAGTTACCACTCAGTCTTACGAATATTTTTCAACAAATTTTCTGATCTTTCTTTTTCTTCTAAACACATTTTTCTTCGTGTACTTTCCTGTTCTGGATTAATTCGCTGACAATAGAGTTTTTGGTATCTACACTCTGCTGATTAAGATCATTTACCTTGGGAGGTTATATTCCAAATCAAACCTCGGATACTAGAGCGAAATAATTTCCTTAAGGGGACATTGTGAGTTCACTGGACTTTATCTTCTTCCAAACTAAAAGATTGTTTCAGATTCTTGTACGTTCATTTTAAGTGTTTTGTGAAATAAATTTCTGTTCATCTTGCTTACTGATTCTACAAATTTCAGTTACTTCGTGTTTCTGAACAATTT